ATTTTCAACATTTTGATGAAATTTTGACAAACACTACACAATTGAATTTCTGGATGTTATGAATCAAATGCACCTAATAGATATTTATAAAACATTTTACCAGACATAAGAGAATATACCTTATGATCAGCATCTCATGTAATTTTATCTGAAATTGATGATGTACTCAGATACATAACACATTTCAACAGATACAAGAAAACTGAAATACACTCTGCATCCTATCTGATCAACATACATTGAAGATGAATATCAACAACAGACAGTTTATATGTTCATGAATACTCAATACTGAATGAAAAATATGACTAGAGAAATTTAAGAAAGAAATCAGTGGTAAAAACAAGCAAATAAATAAATAAATAAATGACAAAACAGTAGTCTTCCTATATACAGATGACAAATGGACAGAGAAAGAAATCAGGAGAAAATATTGCCTCAAAACCTATAGCATGGGGAAACTCTAACCAAACAAACGAAAGGCTTGTACAATAAAAACTAAAACATTGAAAAAAAATTTGGAGAAGATATCATAAGATGAAAAGGTCTCTCATGCTCATGGATTGGTAGGATTGATATAATAAAAATGAACATCCTACTGAAATTAATCTACAGATTCAATGCAATCCCTATCAAAATTACAACACAGTTATTCACAGATCATGAAAGGCCAACTTTCAGCTTCTTGTGGCACAAGTACACACATAACAAACAAACAGTCAGGTAGCTAAACCATATATGAATCATAACAGAACTGCTGGGGTATCAACATCTCTGACCTCAAATTGCATTTCAGAGCTACAGTAACAAAATCAGCATGGTATTGGCACCAAATCAGATGTGTATATCAGTGGAATCAAGATGAAGACCTAGACATAAATCCACACACCTATGGATACCAGATATTTTATGAAGAAGCCAGAAATACACGCTGGGAAAAAGACAGCCACTTCAACAAATGGTGCTGGTTAAACTGGACAGCTGAATGTAAAAGAATCCAAACACACCCAAAACAAGACTCAACTGCAGATGCATCAAAGACTTCAACATCAGACCAGATATAAGACCTGACATAAGAGAATGTGGGGAACGGCCCTTAAGGAATCGGCACAGGATATGACTTTTGTGTATTGTACAGTATGCCAATAGCAGAGACACCATGCTCAATAGTTAATAAATGGGACCTCATGAAACTGAAAAGTTTCTGCACAGCAAAGAACACCATCACTCTAACAAAGGTTAAGCCTACATGATGGAAAACATTTTTTTACCAACAACACATTCAATTGATGGCTAATATCTAAAATATATAATAAACTAAAACACTAGATATCAAGAAAACAAATAATCCAGTTAAAACAAACATCTTGGGGAATTTAAAGACCTTTCGACAAATAGGCATCCAAAGAAAGAGGGAAAACAACTAAAAAAATTACCAAGGAAAGAAATATTCTGACTTAATGCAATCTCTGAAGTCTCTGAAAAGATACTGGGATCCCACAAGGATCTTGGATACAGGAAGGTACTCTGCATGATACCAAAGGAGAACATAAACATCACTCCAGCTACAAACCATCTGATCTGTAATGGTGTCCTGCCTGCAAGATTATTAGTGCAATTGTGGCACAAAACTTGTGGGAGTAGCCAACCAACATCTGATCTCAGCTGAATTCCATGAGAAGAAACCCACATCAAATGCTGCTTGTGTGACCAAGAACCTTGAGACTAGATAACCCAGAGACATAGGGTAAAAACAATATACTACTTTAAGACAAACAACAACATAGGAATAACATGTAATGATATTTTGCTATACTCATAGATCAGTGCCTTGTTAGGCCATCACTAGAGAAGCTCCTTACCATAGCAGATGGGAACACACACACACACACTCACACACACGCAATAAGTGAGAGACCTTGGTACATTCAGCCCTAAATGCAATGTATCCATCATATTATACCCCTGGGGGCTCAGAGAATTCCATGAAAGAGGAGATGGAAAGAAAGTGCCAGAGGGAATGGAGGGTACCAAGGAAACAAGGTCCTATAAATCAGCAGTATTGATGTGCATATGAAGATAGTGAGGCTAGAGTAGTACCTAACCGTCCAGTGAGGCTGGCGGATAACCCAAAGGTCTTGTACAGGTCTACACAGTTGGGGTCCTTGACCTTAAAGGAGACAAGGGCACATTCCCCCGTCCCTACCCCAGAAACTATCTCCAGTTTGTAATCATTTCCAACCATTTATAAATGAACATTTAGTTTCCTACAAGGGAGTCTCACTGGAAAAACAGTGTGCTCTTAAGGGCAGGCTGTAATCATGCCTGTAGATGGCCAACAGAAAATATACCCAATGTCATCGTTGGTCTTTGTCTCATGTGTTCATGTCAGGGATTTTCCTTTTTTTTAAGTTCTATGCTATTATTTTTTCTTCTCTTATAACCTACAGGCCCTTTGCATATATACTATCGTGTTCAGTTTGGTTTTGTGGGGTTTCTAAGTGTGTGAATTAGTGGTTGTCTGAATCTACAATGTTCCGGCACCTTTTCGTGTGCTATTTTCCTTCTGTTTCGTGTGTTTTGTCCTATTATGATATGTTAGGTTTTTTAAACTCATTGTCCTTAGAAACCGGAGAGGAAGGAAGGGGTGGACCTGGATATCAGAAGTGTAACTGGAGCACGGGGAGGAGAGCCATAATCAGGGTATATTTTGTGAGAAACAAAAATCCGTTTCAATAAGAGAGAAAAGGAAAGAAAGGGCCCTGACTCACACCGGCTCTCCAGACTTCACTCTTAACTGCTTGTTGGAAAAGTTAATGGATGCAATAAAATCATCACAATTGTGTTTCAGAGCAATGGATAGGGAACTCCCACAGAACCACAGCTTCACGGCTGCCATGTGCTTCCCCCTTCTCTGGGAGAATACGGAATTCATGCTTGGAGAGCATTTAAGGGTACTCTGAGCACAATGTATATTCCGTAAAAGAGAAACTCTGAAAGAGTAGTAGAGTTGAATCACCTTGGTCAATGAGTTAGTTCAAATCTTGGAAAACTGAAATTGTGCCAAGAAAATCATGTAAAAGTACAACGCTGGGGGGTCTGATGGCTTTCATCGCCAACTTGACACGGGAGTAATTCTCAGGAAGGGAGTGTCGAGGTCAGGCTGTCCTGTGGGCATCTCTGTGGAGACGATTGACCACCTTAATGAAGGTGGGCATTCCCCATACACAAAAGGGCAGGAGGTCCTGGAGAAATTATGCTCATCACTCGCACATATGCACATGAATTCACAGCACTGCTTTTGAATATGGACATGAGGTGTAGCTGCTTCCAGTTCTTTCTGCCTCACCTCCTCTGGAATGATGAAACGTACCCTGGAATTGTGAGCCAAATAAACTCTTCCTTCCTCAAGTTATTTTTCTAGGAATACTTCCTCACAGAAGAGGAATTGAGACTAAGCATTTGGTGTGCATAAAAACAAAACAAACAAACAAACAAAGGGTAATACAATATGATCATGAGGCAAAGTAAATTTCAGGACGAAAAACATTTGATTAAGTCAGACAACAAACAAACCTGAGGTGACTGAGGTAGAAGGGATCTTTTGCAGATGTGGAAGAATCTATTATTATAACTCCAGTTATCATCATATAACTTCAAGGCAATATTTTAAAGGCTGTAATTCTAAATATTAATATGTAGTTACAATGTAATACTGCAAAGAAGGAGAGTTGCTGAGATAGGAAAGTGGAAAATATTATCATAACATATCATATTATCATAACAGAAAGGAACACAAAATGCTTATTCCATCGGCATTAATCAGAGTTTTAAGTTTGAAAAGAAAGAGAGAAAGAGAGAGGGAGAGAGAAAGGAAGAATGCACTCCATTTAAGCAATGAATTGGTAATACAATGGGGGAGTGTTGAAACAATAAAAGCAGGCAAAAAACGACTAATAGGATATTAAATTAACTAGAAGGTCTGTGTAGTGGCTAAGATACTACACATGCCCAGGAAAGGTATCACAAAACCTTTAATTATCTTTCATTGTCCAGTGATTTTAGGAGTTAGATTGCCACTCAACAGTGAAAGTTCCCTGTGTAAATCTGAACACTAGAAATGGAATTGATTTCTTAAATGCCCAACTATTATTCAAGCAAGAAGACAGCCATGGTAAGAACAGCACTTAAGAGGCCATGGTGAGGATGCTGATTTATATAGGCCTTTCTAGAATATCACACTCTCTTGTGATGTCTGTGGATTCCAGGCTTATATGCATGCAAAGATCTCACGCACATAAAATAGAGAATGAGAATAAATTTAAAATAATCAAAATTGCAATTTTCAGAGCCTAGACACAATGGTGTATAAGTACAGGGCCAGCTTGAGTCTAGGACTTGGAAGCTGGATGGCCTGGACAGTACAGTGAGTTTACATAATTCTTCTCCTAGACAATAGGGAAAATACCACTCAGCAAAGGAGGATTTACTTTAGGAGACTTTCTCTAAAAGAAGAAGTAAAACTAAGTTTCCATTAAAATGATGTGGTTCATTTGTACAGAAAAATAATCAGATTCCAAGTTAAGAGAAATGTAGCCTAACTTAAGTCACAAAACTCGAAGTTCTGGGTGGAATTAACTAACTGCTTCAGCCAAATAAAACACGTCAGTTCAAAGAAGAGAAGAGGTATGGATTTTTAGGTTTGTCTGTGGATGTGTATGGCAAGTGTGTGCAGTGCTACAGAGACCAAAAGAGAGTATCAGGTCCCCTCAGGCTTTATGTTTGGGCAGCTGTGAACCATGATGTCAGTGATAACAACCCAGTTCAGTTCTTGTGGAAGGGAACAAGCACTCCCAACAAGGAAGACATCTTCAAACTCCAGTAGATACACATGTCGTCAAATATCTCAAAGCATATTTTAAAGTGCAGTGTTTATAGCTCAAAGTCACTGTTCAAAAATTTCTTATTGTATTATTTAGTTCACATTAAAACATACCAACCTTTCTGAATGTGATGGCTTGGTGTTTTTAGTTTTGTGTCAGTATCTTTTGTTTTTAATTCATATGGTAGACAGGAAATGCGTTTTCTGTAGTCAGTAGTATATTTAAAGTCATCAGGAGTATACTTCATCTGTGAAAGCAAATAAAAGCATTGATGAATCATTTCTTGTTGCTGATAGAGCATCTTGACAAAGGGTTTGCCTCCCAATTCCAGGTTATGGTACACCACCTGGGAGATGTCAAGGCAGTGGGAACTTGCAGCAGCTAGTCATGTTATAGTCACAGTTGAGGGCAAACAGCATGAAATCAATATATACATGCTATGCCAAGTTAACTTTCTCCATTAGTAATTATAGCCCAGAGTCGTCTTCTTAATGAATGGCAACAGTGATGGTGGATGTGTTTTCCTGCTTCAACCTAACCAAGCTACCGGGCCCTCAGACACACCCACAGGCCAAGCTGATTGAGTAAACCTGTGTGGGAATTTTCTTCCAGCTGACTCTAGATTGTGTCAAGTTGATAATAATAATTAACCACAACGATTGATAACAAATGTTTCAACATTCTCAAAGATCTTTCTCATGTGTGGCAAAGCACTATGATTTTGATTTTTAAAAAATCTGTAAGACAAGTACCATTAACAAAAACTTTAAAAGCACCATTTTTATCCCTTTGCGAAGAACTCTAAGAGGAACAGATAATGATACCCAGGGGGTAATTCTATAAAGGCAGTGGAAAGAAAACGCTGTCTAAATAAATAATAGACACAAGGTATTTTGCCATAAAGCCTGAGGGTGGTTCAGTGAAAGAAAGGAAGGATGCAAAATTACCTTACCTAACATTTAATGTACCATAAATAGGAGAACAGTAATATAGGAACAAACCTTGAATGGAAGCAAAGCCTTTTAATACAATTGGACCAGATATGCGTGGGAAAACAACAAACAGATAATCTGTAGGGACATTCTTGGAGACTAGGAGTGATGTCAAATGTGGACTGTGGCGTGAACGCACGGGTGAGGTGTCAGTAACAACGTGCTATCTTCTGGTCTTCACAGATGCTACACAACACTGAGATTTCTGCAGGTCATCCAGAACCCATCAGGGAAAGCCCTCACCATCAGTCGCACTGTATCTGCACAGATTCCATCCAGGAACATGGTATCCATGGTTGCCTCAGAAAGATGAAGAAGGAAAAATGATGCAAGGGAACAGGCTGTGTTTCTAAATGAGTGTTCCCACAGAAAACTCTACTAAGATCTCATTGGCAGGCCACTTACTCAAAGGAGCAAATGACGGGTGTAGTTCGGAGGAGGCATGGCTAGAACAAAATTGATGTCGTGGTAAAAATAGAAACAGTACGGAAAAAAAAAAAATAACCATGTTAGTAGATCATTAACAACATATGGCACAGCAAATTGATACTGTGTTTTATAAAATCTGTTATTATTGATGTGTGTGTGTATGCGTGCATGTGCATGCATGCTCACGCGTGCATGGTCTCATGGTGCACATGTGGAGGTCACAGTTAAACTTTGGAGAAAGTCGGTTTTCTCTTCCACAATGTAGGTCACAGCAATCAAAGACAAGTTGTTGGGCTCGGTAGCGAGCAGCTTTATATACTGAGACATTTCACTTGCCACAGTATATACCGTGTTGAAACTGGCCAGGATTTTATGCCTCCTCTGATAAGAAAGACCAAACCCTGAAACTCCGTAAACTCGCATGCCTCGGCGCCATTTGCTGTTTAGACATGTTATGGAAAACTTACACAGTACTTATGATTTGTCTTTGTTTTATGTACTTCACAGATTACTGTGTAGATGGAGGTTCAGTCCTGTTCTGTCCTGAAGCTGCTTAGTTCCAAATACACACAGAGAGGAGTATATTAATTATAAACTGGCCGATGGCTCAGGCTTATTGGCTAGTGCTCTCTTAATTTTTAACCCATTTCTATTAAGCTATGTATTGCCAGGAGGCTGTGGCTTACCCATAATGCTCTGGGATGTCACTCCTTCAGAGGCTGCATGACATCTCCCTGGTGACTCTCTGTGTTCCTCTTCTCAGAATTCTCCTAGTCTGGTAGTCCTGCCTATACTTCCTGTCTGGCTACATCCTGCCTGCCTATTTGCCAAAACAGCTTTATTCATCAACCAATAAAAGAAACATATTTTCACAGCATACAGAATAACATCCGCCATTGTTCTTGTCATCATTTAATACCCTGAACAGATATCAGCTGTGCCCATTTACTGTGTAAACCCTCAGAAATAAATTTATTCAAAAGACTAAAGCCATATCTTTATCCCAGATGAATCAGGATTCAAACCCTGCTTGGACAAATGGTACCTCCTTCACCTAAAAGGAAGTCAGTTAAATTTCTAATGAGATTTTGTGGTGGAAAACCCTTACATTTGCACTCTACACTGACATTGCCTCATACTGTATTTAGTTTTCTGTCACATGCCCTATACCATGAAATACAGGTATTTGTAGTTACATCTGGTCTCTCAGTTGGGTGTGGTTATATGCTTGCAACCTTAACACTCTGCAGGCAGAAATGGGGGGGGGATCAGAGTTACAAGGCCACCCTTGGCTACGTAGTGAGTTTGACTCTCAATATTTTAAAAATTTTTTCATTTAATATTCTCTGCTTTATGGATTGAAAGTCACATGTCTCCAGCTTTAAGTGACAGAACAATGACAACTTGCTGTTCAAAGCAGATACTTTGTACTTTTCCCTCTGCGCTTACTGCTTCAGTGAAAAGTCTTCCACTATTTTTGTTAGAAGTGCAAGTAAATAAGTAGGCATTTTAAGCTCATGGACACCCTGTTTCCTAAGACTGACAAGCACACATTTTACAACTCATAACATCAAAGCACGGTAGCATAATATGGCATGATTTTAAATAAAGATGTTTCTACTGTCACTTAAGCCCAATCATAATAAAGAAATGTGACAAAAATTATACAGACCATCACTTTTCAACTAAAGTCAGGATGGTCAACTGTAAAACCAAATGCTTTTTCCATCAATCATCTTCCTGCCTCTTCTCTGTGTTGGTGCTCCCTATATTTTTTACATTACTATATATTCAATTGATCACATGCTGCAAATCATTCTAAGTTCAGGCCAATGGTGCCTGTAGAGGTTGCAGTCCTCAAAGACTGCCTACTACTATCTATTGATAAATAGAAATGACACAGATCTTTCCCTTTACAGTTTTTCTATTCTTTTTCCTTTTCACTCATTTCTCTTCTGTCTGGGTTTTCACTCTGTACTTTTAATATTCCTGTCTAAACCCAGAGATCACTGTTGTTCTCAGCTTTGGTTAGTGACGCTCTGTTTTTCAGTGGAGTATGACGTTGCAGAGATTCACACCTCATCGAAGTGTATAAAATAAATGATGGTTGCGTACTGAATTATAAGCTGGGCATCTATATTAGACTATCCCAGAATCGAGGAACACTGCAGAACAGGGTTGAGAAGACTATAAGAACAAGAGTTTGGGAAAGAGTTATAAAACTGGGTATTTCAGACATGACAAAGCTGTTGAACTCATGAAGTCACTGTAAAGACCTATACCAGAATGGACACATCGCCATTTCCTCGTGCATGAAGATGAGGACTAGTGAGACCCCACCCTCTTTGAGAGACCCTTTCCAGGTAGTGAGTGCTGGTGTTGCATCTACTGACAATTTGCTTATGCTCCATTAAACAGACTATGCTGAAGCTCATTCAAGAAACCACCATTAAACTCAGTAATAACATAAAATAAATGTAATAAAAACCAGACATTAAAGTGGGAGAGAGTTGTTCAGAAGAAGCAGAGTTTCATCAGGAGACATGAGGCTCGAGGGAGGGCAACATGAAGTGTAATGCGCCCTAATTCAATATGGATACAGATAATGTTGCCAAAGAACAACACAAAGAGATGAAAGCAATCATGGTAAATTCCACTTGAGACATAAAATGACCCACTTTTTTCCCTAGATATCATACATTATCCTACCCATTAGAAAATGAGTTTTCCTAGCAATCATATTTTTACTAGTAGTCATCCATTCCATTACCTAAAAGAATAAAAAAAAAAGAAGGTATACCTGTCAGATTTTAGAAATAAAGTCTTTATCATAAATAATACTAGGTTATCCAATGTATATAAAGGCTCAAATATAGGAAGTCTAATTAAGTAAGGACTTTCATATATATATATATATATATATATATACTTAGTCAGATTCTGGTGGTGCAAATATTTAATCAAAGCACTCAGGATGCAAAGCCATGTGTATCTCTGTGAGTTCAAGGCTAGCCTGGTCTAAAGAGCAAGTTTCAGGACAGTTTTCAAAGCTACACAGACAAACCCTGTCTCAAAATAAATAAATAAATAAATAAATAAATAAATAAATAAATACTGAATTCTCCAATTTTCCAATTTATTCTTCTTCATGCATTCACCTGTTGTCCCTCATCATTTAAAATAAATTTTACTTTCATTACTTTTATAAGACAAAAAGACATGATGAAAGCTCATGTGTTAAATTGAGATAAATCTGTAGAAATATTATCAAATAGTCAAATATATAAATAAGTCAGCATTTTCAATAGTTAACAAGGTGAGGGAAAGCCACAAACATGTTGTTTATCCTTGAGTTCACAGAGAAGAAAAGTTATCAAAATATAGACATATATAATATACACCTTGTTTTCACCAACATATATATAATATATATTATCCACATTGTTGTATTCCAGAGACTCATTTGTGATGACTTTAGGAAATATGTCTGGCTATTTGGTCAAGGGACATTATAAAATGATGATAAATTCAATAAATCAGATATAAATTCATTTCAACAGGTCAGAATTAATTTAGGTTTTGATGTGAAGAGTATGATAAATTTTCATTGAGCAATATTTGCTAACATGTGTTGTTACTTATGAAATGATAAAATAATTAGTTAGAGTTATAAGAAACTCAGTGCCCAGGTGGAGAAGAATAAATATTTTTGAAATGATATCATCATCAAGAGCCTGTTCTAATGCCATAAGTTATTCTATTCTCAATCCTATATTTATCAATACTTATATATAAGCTTTGAATGAAGATAGTTTTATCACAATTT